TTTATGTACAAATCACTAGCAAATATAAAACACATTTGCAGGGAAATAACTTGAAGTAGAAGGGAAATGTAAAAGGTTAAAATCACGCACCACAATGTCCCAGGTCGATAATAGAAGATATCATTCCACGTTAATATCATCTAAATCATCAATACTCAACCAGTCGCTGGATTCCTTGTTCTGTGCACCAGTAGAGTTGCCAACTTTAGCTGCACCCTTGAAATCATGATTTATTGTTTTGGAGTTATTTGATGTTCCCTGATCACCATCATCCTCTAGATCGCTGAAAGAAACATCATCATCGTTTCCCAAAGGTATAGTTGTTCCTTTGGGGACACTAGCTTCACCTGTTTCCTCTTCTTCCAGCCAGTCATCAACATCCTCATCATCCTCTTCAGACTTCTCTATGGATCTAGTATTAGATGTACCCTTTAAGTCCTTTGTTTTCATCTGGATTGGTTGGTCTTCCTCAATGACAGACTTGTCAATAATTTTCACTTCAGTAGTATGGACAGGGTGCTTTTCAGTCTCCAGATCAGTTATTGGAAGAGAGGTAGAGGGGTCCTCAACATGAAGTGTTTCGATGGATGAGGTCTCTGCTGAAGCCTCAGATGTGACAACATTCTGTTCAGAGGGAACTGATGCATCCACCTCTTTCTGCATCAGTGCATCTGTAGCAGATTCTGCAGGTTTTGGCTTTGTACGGGTCTGTAAATCTTGTAACAACATTTCCCTGGCTTGCACAATCTGCACAGGTTTTTAAATTATTAACTGTGATATCAAATTATCAGTTTTCAAACTGAAAAGATAAATGGTGGAATTAACAACTGAATATGCATGGCCGTAACTATATAAAGCTATGGTTAAAGCAGGCGAAAAACAAATAATAACAAATACATGCAATAAACTGCTTTATACCATGGAGATTAAACGGTTTTCTACCACTATCTGAATACTCTACAATGGCCCTTCCATCATTTCCACATGGTTCTAGTGCTAATCTCTTGCAATTTCCACTTGCTATTAAATTTTCTTTCCCGGCAGCAGTGCTGGGGTTCATTTGCGTAAAATTGGTACATTAAGATACACCTCTAGCCAGTCAAAATAACCAGAAAACCGGTTTGTACACGGAGAAGAACTCCATCCGCTTCAAGATCTCTTTACAGGTTCCTCTATTTTATTCTGGCTAGCGTCCACTTCTATCTCGCTTTCAATACTAGCTTCTTGGATTCACTTTAAACACCTGAATCGAATTCCATGTCTCTTAAAAGAGTGACGGGAATTTTCCTTTTACCAGCTATGGACATGTTCAATATAATATAACCAATGGTCCGAACAGTGAAGTTGACATTACTAAACAAGGCTTAAACTATTAGCTGGTACCAATATGCTGGTTGTATCCAATCAGCTTTTGAGAATGCCAACATCAATAACCAACCCTGAAAAATCGGTCCTGGCTAGCATTCAGCCTGTGGCAGTCTCATACCCTAAATATTGCACGATTCTAGACAGAGAACAGCTGATATTAAACCGATGCCAACATTTAGGATCTAAATTTGCATAAACTAAATAATAATAAATTCTGTCTTTAAAAATAATCATTAACCTTTTTCATTGCTAACTTTAGAATTAAAGAACATATATTATATTATAAACATAACAATACCCAACAAATAACATGTAACAGCTAAAAAATTAAAGTTCAAAATAAATCGAAGTTAAACAAACATACACAGTTGTAATTTAAGTTTGAATTTATCATATGAGCCATTGAATTTCATGGAGCTTTACATGCTCAACTCCTCTACTTATTCACCTATGTCAAAATTATTTATTAAAATACATTCTTATTTAAAATAACTACTTCACTGACTATTCAGTTCAATAGTATTCCATAAAAAATTAATTTAACACCATCAAATAATAAAATAATACAAAAACTTGATACTTGTCACTACTTCTTTAAAGAAAAAGTTGTACTTTTAAGAAGTTGATACACAAAAAAAAAAACTTCAAATCAGAAATTTCTACAATTAACAAAACTATTGACAATGATATTGATAGCCAAAGAGGTTTCTGATACTGATATCGAGATTAGGATTCTTGCTTCTAAGAAAGTTGCAAGATTATTGTTTAGGTGTAGCTAAGTCACAGAGTATGCAATGCCACATCTGAGACCGCGGACATCTTAATCAATGCGACGTCAAAAATAGGATACACATTCTGATTAGTATATATTAGTACAGAGTAGTTTTACCTCATAACACACTTGTAGGATACGGTTGGTACAACATCAATTCTGTATAAATCTTAGGTAAAATTTGATGGTTACCAGAATGTTTTCATATTATATTTGGAGCAATTGAGATCATCCTGACTATGTAATGACAATATACCTGTAATTTGTCCAACAAGAACCAAAATCAGGATGAAAGCAAAGAGTTTATGCTATAATCTTTAATTGTATGATTAAACAAACTGAAGAAACAGTTCTTAAGAATCACCAAACAAGCTTAAAAACAAGTTAAAGCTTTAGCAGAAGTTTCACCTGAGGTGTCGTCAACAGTTCAGCATCTGCCCTGTTAAGCCTAGAATGCAAAAGCACAAAGTAGATCTTCCAAAAGCGACCTTCACTCATATGACTTGGGCAAAGCTCAATCCTAAGTGCTGCTAATCTTGGTGCCAGGTGCTCCACAGCCAATGCATGTTCTTGTTGGGCATCGGACATGTCAAATTCTAAAGAAGCAAAACCAAACGTAAGGAAACTCCTGGCAGAAAACAAAAATGTGCTATTGCTTGTGTGGAAAATGAGCCCTTTACATTTAACAGATACTGGAGAAGAAGGAAAAAAAACTTTAAAACCATCAACCATAAACCATCAAGAAATGCCACTAATGATCATAACATTTCTAAGTGCAAATTATCACAAGTACTGCAACCAGCCAAAAGCAATATGCCATCTCTCACGATACTCATCAATTTTTTATTATGTTATACATCAGAAACCATAAATGACTAAAATCATTGTGTTATGTAATGTAAGTTGGCAAAGAGCATATGCTATGAAACATAAGATGGGCAGCATGGCTAAGATGTGACATACACAATGCAAAATCAGATGGCTAATATCAAATATACTCAGGAAACCAAATATAAGATGAGAAAAAAGGAATATGATGAATCTACTTGATAATGGAGGAAATCAGTTTTGGTGATTCAATTAGATTGTGAATTAGGTAGGCATTTGATCAAGCATAAAGTTGGCCACTACCTCTAGTGACTTCTCATATTCAAAACTAACTTTCCTCCATGAAGTACATGTATACAGAAAAAGAACCAAAGTGGATAAAGATGATCCATTAATTCATGCTGACGAAACGGAGGAATCAAATGAATGCATCCAATAATATATGGTTAAAAAAATATTTATGCAATATAGGATTATTGATGGGCCATTAAAGTGAAAGATTAATTAAAAAAAGCTTCTGCAAGCAAAAATTTTTTTATGGCATAGCTTGCATCAGATTTGCTTTGCAGAAATTTAAAAGCAGAGGTTCGAGATTTCTTTCTTATTGCTAAAAACCTAAAACACATATTTAAAATTGATCCTATAATCATCCGTAGCTACAACCTTACAGACCAAACACCTGATACAAGATCAAGTAGTTGGAAAAATAAGATATAGACGTATTAGTTCAATTTATGTTTATATTTTCTTTATCTCCATTGTACCGAAGAACTTTATGGCATAGCTTGCATCAGATTTGCTTTGCAGAAATCTAAAAGCAGACGTTCGAGATTTCTTTCTTATTGCTAAAAACCAGCAGTACAAAGCTAAAACACATATTTAAAATTGATCCTATAATCATTGGTAGCTACAGCCTTACAGACTAAACACCTGATACAACATCAAATAGTTGGAAAAAATATATATAGATGCACTAGTTCAATTTATACTTATATTTTCCATATCTCCTTTGAATTAGTGATTTGTCCTCTAATGGTATCATGTCAGAAAACTGCATCCCTCTAAGGCATAGGCTTTAAGCAAGAGATAAGAATATGAAAGAAGAAAAGAGAAAGTAGCCAATGTTATCTTGTTTTGCGGACCTCAGTTTAATGGGAGACCTTAGTTTAATGGGAGATACAACAATAAACAAAGTAGGATCCACATTGACGACCCGCATCGAAAATCGAGTTATTGTATTCCTTTTGTTGATAAACCTTCCAGTGAATATATCCCTTGAATCACTATTCAGACTTTCATTTAAATAAACCAATTCACATAGAGCTCATAACCTAGCACAATATTGTAATTTGACAGGATAGAGAAGGGAAGAAAGTCTCCTCTTAAATAAGAGGTGATTCTAGGCATTGTTATTGGATGACAACAGAAAGCATGGAAGTCAATATCTTCAGGAAGTTTAATGCTACACTGTGCATAGGCACCAGCATCAAAGGTGTTTGACAAAATTGTCACTTTAAGACCTCCCTTCTTGGTCACAAAACAATTACACCTACATGCTAATCCAAATTTCCAGCCTCTTTTCATATCCATGCACATACATTCTCTTGTAACATAAAACTTTGGAATACCTTAACAATCCTGACCCCACATGAAGAGCTTGTTGATTATGGAATTAGGTAAAAGCTTGTTAGCTGGACAGGAGAAGAGAAGTTGTAGAATGCACTTCAGACTTCAGAGTGACGCGAACATTATTGAATTAGGTATGCATGTGAGTTTAACTTAAGTAGAATGCACTACAGACTTCAGAGTGACGCAAACATTATTGAATTAGGTATGCATGCCAGTTTAATTTAAGCACTCTTGATGTGCATTCCTTTAGTTCAATGTGACCCCCCCACCCAAAAAAAAAAAACCAAAAAAAGGAGAAGATTATCAAGAAATGTCATCCCTATGGAGTTTGACGCAAGCGATCAACCTATTCCTCGAGATTGGTGTTAGAGATAAGTAAGTGCCCCAAAGTTCAAAAACATTGCATGTTGGTGCCCTCTTGTAAACCCAATGTTGAATATAGATACCCTCAATGTGTAATTGGCCTCACTTAGATACCCTAAACTTTTTAAAAGTTTCAATTTCAATTTAGTACCTTTGTTATGTGATATTCTTGGATACGTAGAGAAAAATTAACGCTGTATGTATTTTTTTTAAGCATGGGACATGCATCTGCAACACTTAAATACTTTGAGGCTTCTTTTTTTTGCTCGGTTTTAAAATATGGGTCACTTAAGTGCAAAGTTAGTGAGGTTTTAGGGCATTTTAGTGCAATTTAGCCTTTTTGGGTCATAGAAATGTAGATGACATGTTATAGTGTATTAAGATTGTTCAAGTTTGAGAAATTTTAAAAAAAATTCTTACAAAAATGTTTGAGGGGCTAGTCTTTCAATTGCCTATTTATGGGGCTTCTGAGATTATTCAATTTTGAGAATTTTTACGAGCTAATTTTGAGAAATTTACAGAGTGCAAATCTCTTTTGTTGAAAAGGTGGCAAAGAAACAAGTGAAGGTGGCAGGAAACAAGTGAAGGTGGCAAAGAAAAATTACTGAGTAAGATCTCAGGAAAACATATCAACTTGAGTGTAGTTTTATTAAACGTCTCTGACCTATAAGTTAATTTTGATGAAGTATCTAAATGTGGACAGGTAGGTGAGTCTTTGTTACAAAAATGAGCAGACTTGTAACTAAACTTGAGAGTTTAATAAATCTTCAATATAAACATGGTTAAAGTTATAATGGTAAAGGAATTTTTGAGTTTTTATCATGATGAAATGCGTACACCTCATACTTGTCTAAAATGGTTTGCACTAAGTTCATTTGTCTCTTGTCAGTAGCCTTCTCTGAATCAGTCAATCTCTTGACACAAAATAAATTTGCACAATGATATTTTTCTACCTGCTGTAAATTTGCATTAAGATAATTTTTCTTTCTTTCTTAAATGACTAGGAGACACTTCAAAGGCAAACTCATATAAACCAACTCTGCCTGCTTATTGCTCAATCTCTCCCTCTACAATCTATCATTAAAAATCTAGCGCTTGGAAGAGCAATTCAGTCATAGACCCATTAGTTGATTGAAAATATTTCATAATTAACACAGTTGAATCGAAGGACTTGGGTTTTGGATCATAATGCAGCAATTCCAACTTCAAAACCATCAAACAAAATGCTTAAATTTTCAAAAGTGAGAGAATTAGAAAGAAGCGAACCATCGGAATCATCCTCATCAGGAATCAAAGGGAAATCGAGCCAAGTCTCTGGATGCATCGAGATATTCCTCGCGAAAGCAAGAACCTCATCCGTAACCCCAACGGCTCCTCCTTCGTACTTCTCCTCAGTCTCCTCGCTCTCTCCCTCCTCATCCTCCTCCAATCCAAACGGCAAAAAAGTCGACGCGATCTTCGAGATCTCAGATACCGCTTTGGTACTCGACAGCATCGAGATCCCGCTCTTGAATCTCCCGCCGATCTCCGCAAAATCGCTCTTGATTCCCGCCAATTTCGGCGAGTTCTCGGCATCGGCCTCATGGGAGGCCATCGGATCTGAGGGTTGACCTGGATCTGGCGGCGGAACATCGCGGAGGTTGGGAGGTGGGGCCAGGAAAGAGGCGACGCCCCAAAATTGGCGGGTTAGGGTTTTGGTGAGCTCGGTGATGTCCTCCTTCACGCCTCGAGTTGCATCCTCGTCGTCTTCTTCTTGCTGATTCTGTTGATCGATCGATGATTTGCTTGGATTCTGTTGATTTGTTTGGGACTGGGGATTATCTTCGTCTTCATCTTCTTCTTCGCCTCTGAGCGAGTTCACTAAAGATCTCGCGAACCACGACATTTTGCCCCTTTTGGGGGGTTTGATTTGTTGATAGCTTGAGTTGTTTCTTCGGCTCTGGGAGAAGTGGGTTTATTTATGGCAGTTGGGTGTAATTACGCGGATAATGATAAGCTAAGCTGAGAGTTATCGGGCATCGTTTGAGATTTGGGCCTGGGTCCGATTGATAATTATGTGTAGGCCTTGGTTGGGGACAAATTTCCTGCTCGGGTGAAGGATGGAGAGCAAGCGCCGAAGGCGCTTTGACGATCACGTGGGGGCGACGGATGCTGGCCTTTGTCCATGTTTGCTTTCCCAGCTGTGGTCACGTGAGGTCCCACCCTTCCACGCAAGCTGATAAAATTATTGCTGCGCTCTGTAGTTATTATGAACTAAAACATGGGGCCGTAGGCAATAAGCTTTTGATTTGGGTTAATATGTAGGGATCCAGTGAATTAACTATGTTGAAAATAGAAATATCATTTTTCAAAAATTTTGTGAATGTGGGGGCCACAAGCACGTGAACTGCAAGCACGAGAAACGGCTGCTTACAGAGTCCGTGTTTCAAAGTCTAGATTTAAATCAAGACCTCTTGCGGGAAGAACGTGTTTCAAATGCGGTGAAGTTGAGCATTTCAAGGTCGACTGTCCAAATAAGAGAGTAGGTGGGAAGAAGAACAACAACAAGACTGAGAGGAGAGAAGACAAAGAAGAATCGAGCTATATTTCAGAGGAAAGGAGCGAGAAGGAATGCTATGTCGTCACGGGTGGCGAGGATATATCCGGGAAGTGGATTCTTGATTCAGGTTGCTCTTACCATATATGCCCAAATAGGAAGTGGTTTACTACCTACAGAAGCATTGATGGTGGAACTGTATTGATGGGAAACAACGACGTTTGTAAAACGGTGGGGCTAGATAATATCAAGATCAAGATGCATGATGGAGTGGTCCGAACCTTGACGGATGTGAGGCACGTTCCTGACTTGCGGAAGAATCTTCTCTCAGTTGGTGCATTGGACTCCGGTGGTTGCAGGATTGTTACAGAAAACGGAGTGAAGAAGGTTGTTCGGGGTTCCCTAGCAGTGATGAAATGTGTTCGTCACGACAATTTATGCACTCTCTCAGATACGACGGTGACGGGAGATACAGCGGTTGGAACTGAAGGAAGTGGTGGAGACCTATGTGAGCACATACGGTTATGACATAGGCGGCTTGGGCACTTGTCAGAGAAGGGTCCAGATATGCTTGTTAAGGAGGGTTTGCTAAAGAATCTGAAGAAATCTTGCATGGATTTTTGTGAGGATTGTGTGTACGGGAAGACGCACTTGGTCAAATCTTGAAAAGCAATCATAAGAGCAAATGTATATAAGACTATGTGCACACAGATGTGTGGGGCCCGACTCAAGCAACTTCCAAGGATGGTTCTAAGTATTTTGTCTCGTTCATAGATGATCATTCGAGGTATGCTTGGATTTATTTTCTTAAGCATAAGAATGAGGTATTTGAGGTATTTAAGAAGTGGAATATGATGATTGAAAACAGGACATGAAAGAAATTAAAGACACTAAGATTTGATAACGGTACAGAATATACAGATGGTGCTTTCAAGGAGTTCTGTGATCAGGAGGGCATTACTATTTACTAGACACTGGACAGTCAGATTTACACCAGCAAAATGGGATCGCGGAGAGGCTGAATCGAACATTGCGAAAGAAAACAATGAGTATGCGATCTTATGCTGGATTAGGTAAGGAATGGTGGGCAAAAGCGATGACTACAGCTTGTTATATTGTGAATCGTTCTCCACATTCTATATTGGATGGTGATACACGCTATAGGGTGTGGTCATGGGAGCATGCAGATTATGAGAGGCTCCGGATTTTTGGCTGTACCGTTTATTATCACGTCAACGAGGGAAAGCTTGACGCGAAGGCCAAGAAGGCTATATTCTTGGGATATGCAAAGGGTGTAAAAGGTTACCGATTTTGATGTACAGNTATTCTTAGGGTATGCGAAGGGCGTAAAAGGCTACCGCCTTTGGTGTACAGAAGATTCGAAGTTCGTGATAAGCAGGGACGTTACCTTTGATGAAAAATCCATGATTGCTAAGGCGCCCAAGGATGATAGTGCTGGGGCTGTTGGGACTTCAAAGTCCCAGGTTATTGAGATAGAACCTAAAGACCAACCAGGTTCTAATCATGTTCAAGTGGGAAATCAGGTAGATGATGAGATTGAGCAGGAGGAGGTTTAGCAGGAAAATACACAAGCATTACAACAACAACAGCTCGAGGATAGTTTGGTTTCCACTAGGCCAAGGCAAGCATACAAGCAGGTACTGAAGCTGGGGGATGATCAATCCCTGAAGTACTATGAGCAGGTTAATTTGGTGGAATACGCACTCTCTGAGGAGGAGGATGAGCCGGTCTCTTTCAAGGAAGCTATTCGGAATAGAGATAGTGAGAGTTGGTTGGCTGCGATGGAGGAGGAGATGGAATTTCTTCGAAAAAAACAAACATGAGAGGTGGTCTCATTGCCTGTAGAAAGAAAAGCTATTGGTTATAAGTGGGTGTATAAAAGAAATGAAGATTCTTCAGAGCTCGGTGGTAGAAGGTACAAGGCAAAGCTAGTGACTAAAGGGTTTGCACAATGAGAGGGTGTGGATTATAATGAGATATTTTCTTCGGTGGTGAAACACACTTCTATTTGGGTGCTATTGTGTAGGGGTGTCCAAAAAGCCCGTCGGCCCGAAAACCCAGGCCAAGTCCGAGCTCCGGGCCGGGCCCGGGCCGCCTCGTTGGTGCCCGACCCGACCCAGAGTAGTGTTTTTTTTATTTTTTTTATTTCTTATATGTATAATATATGTATATTGTTTGTGGAAAAATTTGTAGTAAAAAGACAATGAAAGAAAAATTGATTTGTATTCTCTCTAAATCGATTACAATTTGGATTTCGATTACAAAAGAGAAGAGAATGATCTGGATTCTCCTCTTTGTTTAAAACTGGGTTCTTCACGGTAGCGATGAGATGCCTCCCTCGAATGTTCGCGTCGAGTTTGCTTCTCGTTGACTGTAGGCATATAAAATTGCTTATAGGTCCCTTAGCACAGCTCGGCACAAACCGACGAACCAACAAGGCGACGAGATCGACGAATCGCACGCAAGCAACGGAATACATCCATTCGCGTGTAGAATCAAACCAAGTGTTCGAAGAGTCAACGAGTCATCCAACCAAGGGCAGACTCGGGCGAATCACGATCGAATCAAGATCAGTTTCGGACTCGAACTCAGAAGTGGATCTACTGCCAAATCAGATCAACAAAATCAGAATCTAAGTCAACCGAATCGCGGACAGAACCGAGAAACGGATACAGCGCAAAAAGACGGAAACCTATAAATAGGCCAAGGGTTGTTCATTTTCAAAGGTTGGACTTTTGAGAGCCGAAACTCTGCCGGATTGAAGATCGAGCTTAGAGTTTTGAAGACTTGAAGACTTGGACATCCAGATCTGATCCTCGGCGAGCATCCACGTCATAAAAGGCAGGAGTTCGAGAGAGGGGAAGAACAGATCTGAGATCTACACGAGATCACACTCCGGATCTAAGCTTGGTCTTAGATCCCGAGATCCGAGCGATTATTTCCTTAGTGAACTAATCCCTCCCGGCTATTATTCCCTTCGTGGAATAATACTCGTCAAATCGTGTAGATCCGACCGGATCTAGATCGCGCGGTGGTCCACGGATTAACCCCGGCGTCGGCAAAGAACCCACAAAAGCGAGCGACCGCAAAACAGAAGCTCGCGATTTGTTCACAAGGAGAAAGTTGTAATTTTTTTTATTTTCATTGTAACCGGATCTAAAAAAGACCGGATCTTTTGTAACCACAAAAAGTTGTTATTTTGAGATCACAATGACATCAATGAAGAAAACGATTTTCCCCGCGAACAATCTGGCGACCACAATCAGAAGAGTATCCTTTCTTGGTTTTGTTAGCAATTTGATCGATAATTTGCCAACCACATTCATCATCGGATGAGGAAACATAACCTAAGCCTCGCCCGTATTTATAATAATCCTTTGGTCTCCCTTTTGGTACATATACCGCTTTGGCTGGAGTACGAGGACCTCGATCGAAGTATAAACCTTCTCCGAGTGTGAAATCGTACCCCTGCTTTTCCATGAGCTTGCGTGCTTCCGGACTATATTTAGATAAATGCTGACCAGGTTTGTCATCATCTTCATCTTCACTTAGGAAATGATCTGGTAACGGAGAGCTTTTTCCTTTACCGTAAATCACTTCTTTAGCGCCTCTTACTTTGTTCGGGATGACCATGGTTGTTCCGAAAGAATGCTGGAGGTGTTCCTTCGTTACATAGGATGATCGGATCGGCATATACAACTCAGGATTGTCGTACAGCTCTTTTATCACATCATCAAGAGACAAGGAGTACTCTAAATCATCTTTTATTGCAATATCGGCAAGTTGCCAGTTACAACCTCCATCTGACGATTGTTCATCGTCAAGATTGATTACAAAGGGTACAATGTCATTTAAAACAAAACCACCATCGTAATCGAATCCGGCTTCAGAATCAGCTTCTTCTCCGCTGTCTGTGCCCTGGGCCGATGGTTCAGTATCGGATTCATTACCATAAAGGAGAGAATCGATGAAATAATTCTCATACCCTTTGAATGGTTGCTTATCCGCGACCACCGTCCTAACCTCATTATCAGTGTCGACATACTTAAAACACTGATGGAGAGTAGAGGGAATTATAACATTACTATGGATCCAAGGTCGACCTAATAGTAAGTTGTACGAAGTCTCGGCATCGATCACATAGCACGTGACTTCTGTCTTCAAATCCCCCATTTGACACTTTACCCGGATCTTACCCAAGGGTCTTGACCCACTAGTGTTGAATCCATAAATAACAGTGCCTGTGGACGCCAACTTGCTTACTGGGATGCCGAGGAAATGCATCAAGCGAAGCGGCATAATACTCACAGCAGAACCCGGATCCACTTGGATTCGGTTGACTTTGCTGGAGCCAATGTACCCGATGAAATATAGCGGTCGATCGTGGTTCGAATTCTTCGTTTGCATATCTTCTTTGGTGAAAGTAATGCAGGGAAGGTTCTTTGTCGCTATATTGCATTGTTGACTCAGCGGTTCT